TGACTGGAGTATCTATTCTTAGCCAACTGTTTCAGTAGCCAATGAGAATGCAGCTCTTCATACACCCTTCGTCGTATCTTAAAACAATGGCAGACCTTTAAGGGTGCTGATTTTTAGTGGAGCTCTCCATCATGCCTCTTAAGGGCTGATTTTTTAATGGAGCTCTCCATCATGCCTCTTAAGGCTGTGATTATGGAGCGTGAAAAGCTCCCCTATGGTGTTCTAGGGGCGTCATTAGTAGTCCTCCTGTACTTTTCAAATCTGAAAGCCTGTTATGATGAAATACTACGGTTAGCGCAACGGCAGTTTAAACAGACTTCTAAACGGGAGCGCATAATACGACCCGTTCGTCAACGTAGACGGGGTATCCAAAACAACAAGAGCTGCATGAACTCCCTCAACGCATGATTCCTTATCCACACGAACAAAAACTCGTGACAGTCTAAGAAATCGATTGTGGCATCGCCGGCATGTAGTGCAGCCCAGTGTTTTTATGACCGCATAACAATAAGTTTTTATATCGCAGGGGTTATCGTGGGGAGTGAGGGCACGACCAGTGACACCTGACACGCACGTAATCAAAGCTGTTAACTGAATTTGTCACTTTTCTTAACGTAGAAAGTGGACTATTTTTATTCAGTTAGATATCTAGAAGCAATGTAAACTGTATATACTTAAATATTCTAGGCACTTGTAACTTTGCGGATGTGCGGCAGCATTGATCTATGCATGGGGGTACCGTGGACCGGGGAGGAGAAAAACGAAAGTAAAACCTTGCCCAGAAGCTCCGGGCATTCCTAGAGATTCCAGTACAAGTTTTTTTAACATACTCAAAGTAACTAAAAACTCAGAGGTTCTGAACTTGCTCAGTCGATGTAAAAAGAAAGTTGAAAGATGAAAAGAAATGAAGTAAAAAAAAGAAAATAACCATACCATCATTACCATGATTATAATTCTTGACGATCTGCAGCCGGATATCCGCGCTAAGCGCGAACAACGCCGCCTAGCGGCAACACTAAATCAAATTCGCTGCCCTGTTTAGAACACCTTCCTCAGTGCCCTTCGGGTATAGGATAAAGCTGTATAATCGCTCAATTGAGCAGTTGTGGCGATTCCACAAGCCTTTTCACTATGCACGTAGGTAGACATTTCATACAAATGGTCGTAATTGTTGGTTTGCTGGTCGGCGCGTTTCGTTTTTCTCTAAAAAAGCGAGTTTCCATTTTTACCGTTTCACGCCGTAAAATTATTCTCGTACATATGGCGTCCCATAGATGGCGCGACGAGGCCATGTACATACCATTTTCAAGTTATTTTTCTACACAAGGGTCGGGCATTGAGCTAGACTGCTGCTGCACGGTGGAGAGTTCCACACGCTGCACCAACTGTAAGTGAGTTCTTGGCGGAGTGAAGGTCCGTACCAGTCTAGCTGCAATCGTGACGTGCGCTTCAACTTACCGTATTCATGTTGGAACCCCTGATGGTCCGATGTTTCCGATGATGACGTAATAGTTAGAGCATGTATCCTGTGCAGCACGGGCGGCCTACACAACAAATTGTGTTTACGCAGGTGTGCGCTCAGTGTGATACAATTGTATCCACACCTACGAATACTTCTATTACTACAAGTACATGTTACAATAATTACTAGTAAGTACTACTACTAGTACTACTAAGTACTAGCACTACTAGTACTAGTACTAGTTACTACCACGAGCGAATAATGACAAACTCTGTTACTAGTAAGTTACTAATAATGACGACTCCTGTTACTACTAGTCCTACTACTACTAGTACTACTAGACTACTAGTACTACTACTACTAGTTACTACTATAGTACTAGAGGTACTACTACTAGTACTAATACTATATATATTATAGTACTACTACTAGCTACTACTAGCTCCAAGAAACGCTCTTTGCTAGGGTTAGAATACCCCTATCAGGGCTTGCCCTTGAGTATGAGATTCAGGTGGCCAAATGGATTTTCAGGTGGCCCGGTTGCTACATTTATTAAATAATTTATTTGTATCCTAACTATGGGTAATGTGTTTTTGCAAATAATCGCAATAACATAACTAGATTACGACAACAACAAAGAAAGAACAAAACCCTGACCGAGTTAAATAAGTTTCCAAATATTAAAAAGCTTTCAAATTCTCTGGCAGTATCTTTATTAAGTAGCAGAACTCATGTCATTAAGATGTCAATCAAAACTGTATGTCCTTCAATCATTCAATGTCAGTGTGACTGTCATGATGTCATCTGAACCTTTTGATGAATCAGAATCAATTTCTGACATGGGGTCAGACCCATCAGAGTCTGGCTCAGCTGCTGGTTTCTTTTGCACATCCCTACTCCCCTCCCCCCTACATCCTCTCTGTCTCCACAGTGTATCATCCTTACACCCCTCCCTCCTACACCTTCTCTGTCTCTACAGTGTATCATCCCTACACCCCTCCCCCCTACACCCTCCCTGTCTCTACAGTGTATCATCCCTACACCCCTCCCCCTACACCCTCCCTGTCTCTACAGTGTATCATCCCTACACCCCTCCCTCCCTACACCCTCTCTGTCTCTACAGTGTATCATCCCTACACCTCTCCCACCTACACCCTTCCTGTCGCTACACCGTATCATCCCTACACCCCTCTCTATACATACACTCTGGTATGTACTCACTTGTCTTGAACTCGTGGAGAAATGAATTGCGCAACGAACCAACACAGATGGGTAGCGAATGGATTGCACGTGCACTACTGTTTTGATTTAGGCCAAGTAAAGCATTGTTTCTTGTTGCGATTCACATTCTCAGAATCTGGATTTAGGCCAAGTAAAGCATTGTTTCTTGTTGCGATTCACATTCTCAGAATCTGTTTCCAGTAAACCACACGTACACACACACACACACACACGCGCGCACGGGCACACGCGCACGCGCACACGCACAAACACGTCACACACACACACACACACACACACACGTACACTCACACTCCGACACTCGGCAATCAGCAGAGCGTCCCCTTGCGATATCATGCGTGTACGTGTCGCAAGATCTCTGTGTGAGATGGATGACCGGAAGCGTAGCCTAGCGGCTCCTCATCCGGAACTGGTCGCGTAGCCACGGCCTTATCTTTATTGGTGGCCAGGCGGGCCACCAACCCGACAGTTTCAGGTGGCCCGACGCCGTTTCAGGTGGCCATTGGCACCCGGGCCACCGTTAAAGTCGAGCCCTGCCTATACTAGACACAGACACTTTAAGCGTTTCAATAAAATATAAAGCTAACTAAATACGAAATCTATTTACTACCAAATTCTTCATGTTTCTAGTATAGACCTACTCTCTTTCGAGAAGGTTGCGAAGTGCAAATTAAGGCTATATAGACTGGGACTCGCTCCCACCTCGATTACCCATCGAGTGACTAAGCTAAGCTGAGAGGTGGGAGCGAGTGCCAGTCTATGGGCTATAGGCGGCGCGCAGGCGGCGCACTGCTTTCCAACTCCCGTACGAGCCTCGCCATTGCAACGTTCCAAAAACGTTGCAGCATTGCGGCGCAACAATGAGGTCACGAAGAGCGCCGGTAGGTGTTTCCTGATTCTGACAGCCATTTCGATTACTGGGCAAGGTTCGTGAACGCGAGAATTTCATCAGTCTTTGTGTGATTTCGCGCGACACAGCTCGGTTACAGTTTTTATAACAAGTGAACACTGTTCACGTCCCAAATGTCTGCCCTCTGTGTCCCCCACTAAAATTGCGGACTGTTTGCTGGCAGCTATGGATCCGTGCGCCGGCCTATGCATTCGGTGCACGGATCCATAGCTGCCAGCGCTGCATACTGTCGTAGGACGTTCCCGTGGTCGCATGTGCCTTGCCGCGGAACTGCGTGCAAGATCTGCGCTCAGCGCTTCGGATCAACACCTCCTTTCGGCAACGCTTCTCTAGTATCCCGTCTCATCTGGATTTCCTGTCTTTGTCATGTTACCTGAGTAACCTGACTATGTGTACTGTGTAGTGCATGTCTGTCTGTGGGAATGAAATTGAATAAGAATGTGATTGGTTTCTTAGTCGAGTGAGATGAGATAAAAAAAATGTGATCGAATGTAATTTGTTGACGATTTCTTAACACTGATAGTCTGATACTGGTGCTGAGTGCTGAATGCTGTTGAATGATATTAGAGTGCATCAAAATTATGAAAATTTTAACAAAATTATGCTATGAAAAAGTAGCTCTGGCCAAGCCTAAAATAGCTCTCGTAAAAAAAGAAATTTTTAGGCTGCTCCACACTAACTTTTTTTGCTAGTGGCCCGTTCGGGCCAGTAAAATCATGAATTTTTAATTTTTGGTGGCACGAAAAGCAAAGTTACTGGCCCCCCCAAAAAAACATTGGTTACACAAGCCAGCCACAGCTGCAAATCACTGACGAAAATCACTGTTCTTCCATCAATAAACTACACTTTATTGAACTAATATGGAAATAAAGCTCCAAACGTAAAACACAACACAACGTACTCACAATACTGTCAACATGCACACACAATACACGCTAGTCACAACACAGGCTAACCATACGAACACGTCTGGCGGTGTGTATGTCTGTGTGTCTGTCCGCTCGATATCTTTGCAACCGTAAGAAGAAGAAACTTCAAACTTGGTCCACAGTTGCATCTTATGGGCCGAGAGAACCCTATTGATTCTGAGCCACTGCCACCCAAGGTCAAGGTCACAGGGTCATTAACTATATTTCGAACACTGATACGTACGTACGCAGAGCTGTGTGTGTTATGATATCGATTTATTCCACTGCACTTATTCCAATCATAGTTTATCATCGATTATTGAAGTACAACCAATGATTAATTGTGAAATTCCAACCAATTCCCAAAACCAGATATTATGATAATATATGATATTTGTAACTGTCTAACTCTCTCAATGGACAGTGGTTAGCCGAATAGGTAATAAATAAGTAATACTCAAATTGGATTTTCTTTTAGTTCCAGGTAGGTTACACAGTAACTTACCATATGCACATTTAACAACTTGACTTGGTGACCGGTGATTGGATATCAGCTGGCTACGAAGTCATGTGTGATGGAGCAAACATTGATGATAGTTCTCTTGGTAATGTTAGTTGATTACGTGGTAGTATAGTCTTAGAAAAATAAAACAGTACATGCGATATTAGACTAGAAATTTTACATATTCCATGGTAGATAGATAGATTCGTGGATCTTGCTGTTTGCTACCCATGGTGTGGTTTACCTGTGTTTTGCTACCAGGTTTGCTGTTGTTCTAGACTTGTAGATGGATTTTGTTTTTTTATTTATGTGTACATAGTCATATGCTTAGGAACATAATTAATTAAAAAATATCATACACGAGTCGGTGTCACAGTTTCATAACTTGAACTAGTTTTATTGGGTTGCTAAATTGCAAAATTGTAAATCCACGCCAATAAGAAACCAGTCTAAATTGTTAGATTTGTTGTCTGTCATCATAGGAGCGATCCCTGAGGGTGAGCTAAAAACAGAGACATTGAGTCCTGCAGCAAGAGAGAAACAGCAGCTTTTCACATTCTCTCGCACCAGTAGCATCAGTTCAGTGTATGCATCATCATCCTCTGCACATAACACTGGTGAGTATCAAACGTCATTTCACTGATGTCAGTCGGCTCTTTTTTTTAATACAGTTGCAGCAGGGTTCGAAATTAAGGGCAGCAAGCAGTAGTTTTGTTGCCTACAAGGGTAAGTTTGTTGCCTGCTATCAATGTCAACATAAAAACCTTTCTGCCAAGAAGTTCTCAACAAACTATATTAGAAGCACCGAAGACTGCCTGGGTGGGAAATTTGCTGTCTACCCTTTTCTCTGGCAGCAAGTACATCTTGCTGTCTGGCAAAAAGTACATTTACAACCCTGTGCAAGTATATACATTGATCAGTAGAAAGCCCAGGAGTGTTATATAGGGTTTCGTTTGCTGTCAAAGCCCATCAATTTGTGTGTTTGTGGAGTGTAACGTATTAGTGACATTTTTTTGTAATATTTCATGACAATTTATAAAGATCTTAATTGAAACAACATGCAACTCTAAGAAAGAAATTGTCATCCTCTCCTGGATATTGGGTTACAAAGTGAATCTGTTATTTTTTTACTGCCTCCATTTTCCATCTATTCCTTCATATGACACATTAGCCCCTTAAAGCCGCACTATGCGCATCCAAACGCTAATTTCTCCAGTACTAGACTAGCAAATACTTCGTGTCATGCCTAATCACACTACCTTATGACAAAATAAACTCTAGTTCCTCCCATTTCACTGCGCGTTGTCTTATAAAAGGCATTTGAAAATACCTCCTAGGAGCGGCAGGCTGGTAGTGTGATGAGTCACCAGGGGCAGGCTGGTAGTATAGGTGAGTCCCAGGGACTTGTTTGCGCGAGACACAATGGTAGCTCGCCTAGGTAGTGACTCGGGGTTGCGGAGTTGTGACACGTCCAGGGGTGCAGGATGGTAGTATAGTTTATTTATAGTGACTTTTGGCTACAGTAGCACGCTCGTACCGCTGTACCAGCACCTATGCGTTGCGCTGAGATTGCCGCTGCTTGGCAGGGCAATCGCGAACAATGTCGCAACAACATCGGAGAATTTTCAACAACCATTG